GTAAGTATAACAAATTAGTCAGTAAATAAAAAATAGTAGAAAAGTATAAAAAATTAGTTATATTAGAACACTATGATACATTTGTGCAGAATTTGAATAAATGTAATATCTCTGCGATTCGTCCGTACGAGTTGCCGCGTATTAACACAAGTTAGTTGGGTTACGAATATGGGTTCGCGATGGTGCATGGGGGTGAAATGGGTCTTGGCTCTCTCTCTCCTCTCTCTCTCTCTCTTTCTCTCGCTCGTCGCTTTGTACGGACGTACGGAGGTTTGTGTTTCGATCTACACCCCGTCGTCGCATCCCTTGTAGGAGACGGAAGTGAGATTAACGTTTGCGAGATGCAACCCACGAAAATGCAGAGGTAATGTTCGATCCTTTTTCGACCCCGATTGCAACGCAAAAAATATTATATGTGTATATATATCTACACACACACAGAAAAAATACACTATAATGTTAATAATAACCACGATGTACAAGCATTCGTCATTCTGATTTCGAAAGACGTCATTAGATGTCAAAATGACGTCATTTTAACTATAATTTATTATGACTGAAAAATCTTATTGCCATTAAATACTTATAATTATATATATTATCTAAATCGCTTTTGTATTTCTTTATTTAAATCTTTTAAAATTGTATATAATAGCAGGATAAAATATAGTATAAACAATATTTATTATATATGTATACTAACTGCTGCAATGTAGATTTTGTCAATTAATTTTTTATAAATTCATGTAATAGATATGTATTTTGGAACTAGAAAAAAAAATTTTATTATAAGAGTTTTAACAAGGCTCTGTAATATAATATAAATTTAACGTATAAGAGGGCAACAAGAGCCAAATCGCGGATGACAATGCGTTATCCTAACGAAACTAAATAATTTTCCGTTAGAATTAAATACCGGTGCACAAGGCACCAATTTTACTTGGACACGGCCAAGATTTTAAATATGAAATAATCTCATATTGAGATTTAATTTCAATACCCCTTTTAACCCCCTACGGAAAATAAATAAATGAATGCAAGATTATTTCATATTTAAAATCTTGGCCGTGTCCAAGTAAAATTTGGTGCACCGGTATTTAATTCTAACGGAAAATTATTTAGTTTCGTTAGGATAACGCATTGTCATCCGCGATTTGGCTCTTGTTGCCCGTCTTATACGTTAAATTTAAAAATTTTATTGTTTATATTATTGAATGTAGTCAATTAATTATCATTATACAGCATTGAGAAAAGAGGAAAGCTCCGAAATACAGCTACAGGCTAAACTATAATGGCTGAAAACCAACAACTCGTTGATACAAAATACCTATTACTGCCATTAATAAACGAGTTAAGACGTGTATATCTGAAAATCTAAGAAATAGTTTATTACTTGTCGAGCTTGCACTTTTGCCTACGTTTCTCTTGCTTTCTGTACTCTTATCTGAAATGGAATTTAGTCCAAGACGAGTTATCGAACATGTGGTAGCAAAACAAATGAGTTTGCAAATTCAAGACATAGTAGTCGTTTTCCGGCAATCTATTAATTATTATTATTTAGACCCTGAATCAGAACAAAAAGTTAATTATTCATAAATAAAACTTATATTAGAATTATAATACTAATATTAAGAAAAATAAAACTAATATTTGGAGAAACAAAACCAATATTTGGAAAAACAAATTAATACTAGAAAAATAAAACTAATGTTATAGGTAACTTGTATTTTTGACAAGTTCTAAAGTATTAAAGTAAAAGTTAATATAAAATTGAGAAATGGCGCATGCGTAGCGCACGCTTTTCTTGTTCTATAGTACATAAAAAAAGTAAATTAGCGTAATTTTATAAAGCTATTATATAGAGTAACAGAATTTACACTATAATAACGTCATAGTTTACACTATATAATATTAAGTCTTAAAATATAAAATTTCTTAAAACTTTTCTTCTAAATACTGCATAATGTTATTCATAATATTAATTTGCAGATTTTGTCCTCTATGTAATTACAGCGGAGTCTTCCGGGTAAAGTTTCGTTAGCATTTCATTTGGTACGTAATGCGTATTTTCGAATCTACAAAAATAGCGACCAATTTCGGAATTATCGATCCATTTCGGCGCTGCTAAAGTGAGATTACCTAAAATTAAAAATGCAAATAAGAAACAATGTACAAAAAGTAAAATAAATAATAAACAAATTAATAAATAAAATGTATTATATAACTGTGAAATCAATAAAAAACGAATTATAAAAAGAAATAAAGTGTTCGTAGAATATAAAAATATATAATTTTTTCAATAAAACACGTTCAATATGATAATATATAATGTATTCATACCTTCATTTACGTAACATATTTTATTATTATTGGTAAGAATAATATAATTTGTTTGCTGCTTTGTAAATTCATAATTGTTACAATGATTCAAAGGCAAAAGTTTCTATCTCTTAAATAACTTTCTCTAAGCCATCTATAGCTATTTAGATTTTGTGTCAAAATTTCATAACGTCTGTCTGTATGACGATCCCATCCGATTATGACGCCGTCGCAATTATTGCAACCACTACGATGTGTTACGATCATTCCTACCGCAAATTTTACGTCCTTTGTTCTAATGAATTGCTGTTTTTTTTTAAACAAAGTGTTCTAATCTGAAAATTTAATGTTTTACTTTAATTTATCATTTTTTGCCATTTAAAACCAAATTAGAAAGCAATTCATTGACCGACACCGGCAAAGTTAAAAATCTTTTATTGCCATTTAATTCTAAAATATACATTTATAGCAAATTTAATTACCCTTATTGTTAAATTATAAATAACTATAACTCATATGTATATAGCTGTACATGTCAAAGAGAAAGGAGAGAAAATTTTTTATTACTATTATAATATATTTTAATATATGCGGTGTGTATAGTGCATACATACTTCAAAGTCACTTTTACCAAATGAATAAATTTTATTACGCTGCATAATCTGAAAAATATTGTTATAGTGGTATGTCAAATCCGCAACTCTTAGCAGTATCCTGTCTCGCAGTTCACATGGTGATATTCAACTTAAGCTTTTGCATGGTAAAGAATCATTACCATAAAAATACTGCCACTTCCGATACAGTGGTTTATTGACACAACAATACTGGAATTTCTCAAACATTAATAAACTAAAACATCTTACATTTTTTGGATTAATCGTGCCACTGCAAAGCAAACAATATATTTATCTATTATGCACACCTGTGTATATGTAGAAATATTTTTTAAAAGATTTCGATAATTCCAAATTTAATTTTATATTACTTACTATTTGGATTTTTAATATATACAGTAAAATAGTTCTAATCGATCACCAAATGCCACAATGTTGGAACGTAGACCAAGTCTTCTTGCCACGCAGTGATATATTATTAATAAAATCATTTCTTGTCCAAATCTACTTTTTAGTACCTATGCCAGAAATTGCAATAAATTATTGAGAGAATAATAACAGTATATTTAATATATAAACAAACAAACGGCCATGCTCACAGTACGATTTTTTTCTTCTGACGCCACATATAGTTATAATATTCATTATATTATATAACTTACATTATCTATACACATGTATTCCAGATTTGTATTGTTTACTTTGCACGATCGAAAATTTAATTTGCCAAATATGTACTCGTCGAATGCATCGATAATCTGAATTCCTTCCGCTTCGTTTCCAGTGATTATCGTCTATGACCTAAACAATCCTCGCCTGACAGATCACCGGACGCGATATCTGCTTGAGTCACAACTAGAGGAGCAATAAAATATCAATCTCCCTCTATAAGAACAAATTCTCCATTGGTCGAAACCCAGGACTCTAAACAAAGCCCGAACCAATCATATTAATTTTCAAAACCAAAGGACGCCTCCAAAGCGTCATTGAAAATTTCCTTATTCGTCGGGGATATTAACAACTAATGGAGAAGGAGGAGTAAGGAAGTTTATATATGAGTAACACCGTGCGAGCGACACACAGTCTTTTTCTCTCGATTCTTATTCATTCTCATTCAGTCAGTCTCATCTCGTTCGCAAACTTCAACTAGTTTTATTTGAGTGTTCAACCGAAAGAATTATTAATTCTGTTAGTATTAATTTCGCAAAACGAAATCCCAGCCGTCGTCAACCACCGAGCCACCTCCAGCTGACCAAGGTTCTTCTTGATAAGTAGTAAGTCTACCTAACACATTCACACCAATACTTCGTACAATTCCCGGGAGTTTAATCAAATCATAAAAACTAGAGTCTTTGGGTTCGCCGTTGGATTCGGTAACCCAATTATTTACCTCACACCCTTTGATCCTTCTCCTACCTTTCTCCCAGAAATCACTCCGGATTCTCCGCAACAGCGGACGACTTCGTGATTTCTATCCGCTTCTTCCGAAATCACTCCGGATTCTCCGCAACAGCGGACGACTTCGTGATTTCTACCCTCTATTCCAGAAATCACTCCGGATTCTCTGCAACAGCGGACGACTTCGTGATTTCTACCCTCTATTCCAGAAATCACTCCGGATTCTCCGCAACAGCGGACGACTTCGTGATTTCTCCCGCTAGTAAATTAGGAAATAAAAAGCAAAGCGAATATAAAAATATACACATTGCATATGTATGTATGTATGTATATACATATATATATGTAAGCATTTTATATATTTTAACTTTATTGCCGTATGTATAAGGGAAAGGAAAGCGAGAGAGATGTTAATCTATTTTATTTATATTTTCGTTTACTTGTCCTTAGACGGTTTAGTTTTATTATGCGTTATATTTTTATTTATTTGTGCGACCGTCAACATAATCTCTCTCGTTCGTAAGAATTATTGTTTTCGCGAGCACCAAACAATTTTGTGTAAAATTACTCCGATTGGTCCGGTACTTTGGGGTGGGAATATTTTAGACAAGCGAGTATAAAGGTGAGGATATTTGAGTGTGCGACACAGTTTTTGACACAGTCTGACAATCTGAGAAAGTACTTATTCTGGCGGCGTTACCAGCGGCTCCGGCGTCTGTATCGACTCTACAGTATAAATATATATACACATCGGATCGCAAATAAATACATTTTACTGGAACATAATATACATATATATATCCTCACACACATCCTGACTAAATTATACACGACGAAGAGGAGCACTTTAGGTTAACAGGTAAAAATTTGCAATTTCTTTGAATCCCAATAAATTTTTAGGTAGTGCATTCTTGTATGAGAGAAATATAATAAATAGAGTTTGGGTTACAGTTTTTAGAAATGTGCTATTAACAGATTATATGATAGGTCTGAGACACCCTGTATATTTCTTACAACAAGGAGTGTCATAAGCAAGGAGACGCGATGATTTTATTTGATTTCTGTTGATTTTTCAAATTCTTACAATTATGTAAAAAATAGTGAATTACTTTCAAACTCACTCAATATCTTGCTCATTATTTGTAAAAACTAAAACTGCAGGATAAATAAATTAGAAATTTTTTAATGTATTTTCTGCTACTCTTTATTCGTGTTAATTTAATATTATTCTGCAATTCTCGGTCTTCTTCTGTCTTGAAGGGTCATTGTAAAATAAAAATGGAACAATAGAATTTCCAACAATACATTTTTTTTCTCTTTTCTCTTTTCTTATGGTATGCATCACGTGACACCGTGCACGACGGGAGGGAGCAAACTTTAGGTTCGCATGTAGAATTTTCAGAAAAATGTGGACAAAGCATGAACAACGTCCGTAGCATTCACATCGAACACGTGTTATGCGAATCGAAATTTTTAATAATTATACGCGAATAATTTGTTGCAATCACTTCGATTTATATAATTTTCTATAGTGATCTTTCTCGAATTTTTGTCATAATGAAAACGATAAAATCCTTACCAAAGGAATTGATACCCATCATTCTCGGCTACAAGGATATCACCATCGAGGATATTATTAATTTCCAATGCGTTTGCAAACAATTTCGTTATGTAGCCAGCTATGCAAAGTATTGGGACAGAAAATTTTCTCAAAGGTAAGTTTTTGTTGTTTGTATATTTTACAATAATAGATCAAACATTGCATCATCAGTTTTGTATAATTGAAAGTTATATCTTAAAAATTACAAATATAAAGATTACAATAAAATACAGAGTAGAATAAAACAGAATCTATTAAATAATCTTCTAAAAAAACAATTCAAGTCGATTCTCGTAATATTGTATCTTTCTTTTGCGACCATGTGACGATTAGATATGTGTCTCGATTTGCATTGTGAGTTACATTTGCTTAACAATTATTGTTTCAATCAAAATATGTATGTGTTATCTATATGGTATTATTGTTTTGTAGAAATATAGCGATTTCTTATAATTATGCATTTTTTATAATTTTGGATTATATACATTCGAAAATCGTCGTCCAATTTATTTATTACTTTTCTTTCATTTCAAATTCGTAATCATTAACAGATGAAAACAAATAATAAAGTGTGATAATTTTCGGGATATTTAATAAATTTTATATATATTTCGATATATTTAAAATTTAATAAGAAAATCAATATACATTTATTAAAACAAATTGTTAAAAAGATTCTAATGAACAATGGCTATTAAGTAAGTTCACTAAAAAAAATTTTCATTTTATTAAACACTATTCATCTCGTAATTTTTCGGATACAAAAAGTACACACTTTTAGATTATTTTTTTAATTGTAAATAGTCCCCATTGCGTTTAATAAAAACGTTCCAGTGTTCTGGAAGTGTCAGTATATTTCTAGAAAAATTTATACCTAAGAACATAAAGATACTCATGTAATGCCTGCTTTACCTCTTCGTCGGACTCGGGGATAGAATCTTTATTATATAATACAATTGGATAATTTTGTATATTCAAGACATAACGCGATAAAAATTATTTAAGGTTTTTAGTTGACACATCTAATAAAAACGAACGCGTAAAAAACGCTTTAATGAGAGACAAGACGCAGAAAATGGAAATAACGCGTATAGTTAAATATTCAAAATTCTTGCTTTAATTCTTGCCCATTTTAGCTTTTTACACGTAACATAATTTTTATAAATACATTATATAATGAAATAATATTTTTAAATAATTAAAGAATTTTATTAAAAACACATGCAAACGGTGGCTTTCCATCCATTTTCATAACGTAATGAATAAATGTAATATAATATAATGAGAAATTAGAAATATAGCATACAAGTGTATAATATGATGAAATATAAATAAAAAAGAATACTTTTTATAATTGTGATATTATCAATATAATATATCAATTAACTAAATAAGTTGTAAGGTATCCTAAATAAATAAAATATGTAAAAATCAAATACAAAATTATAAATAATTATTTTAAAAATATATTGTTCTGAATTTTGTTTAATAATGCTGCAATAGAACTCTTAATATTATTTAAAAAATTTATTAAATTTTTTGTTTCAATTTTAGGTGGCCTTTTTTAAATGAATATTGTGACGTATTGTTTAAGACTATTAAAAATCGTAGAAAATGCAAATCCAAGAAAAAAATTATAAAATTTATGAAATTGGGTATCAATTATACGAGACAATTACGAAAATACGTGTCTCATATAAAATATATCCATTATCACAATGAAACAATCGATAATAGTGTGCATTTCATACATATATTTCTTTCTTATTTTGAATACAATTATTATGAAAAATTCATGTATTGTAATCCAAGATTCTCCAAATTTTCTTTTTACAATGATGAGCTTAAAAACTTGCTTACACATTCTTCACGGTAGGATTCTTAATATGTCTTATAGTGCTAACATCTTTATAGATTATATTCTTGCACAGTTTTAATATGTAAATTTTTCAGAAGAACTGGTTGCGATTTAACCGAAAGATATTATTACGAGAAACTATTTAATTTTATAAGGAAGTCTAATACAAGATCAAGCTATTACGATTTTATTTTTTTACCTGTCGAAGCGCAAATTATGGAATGGATTGCCTTTAATGTAGCACAAATTTTACAAATCCAAAAGGATGTAACTTACGCGTACGTAGTAAAATCTTTGGATCATATCGCACTAGAGATACAAAATTATCTGAAAGAAAAACATCCAGGACATTCAATATTTTCGACGTCCGCTGAAACTTTTTCTTATTGGAAAAACAATAATATAGACGATAATCACTGGAACGAAGCGGAAGGAATTCAAATTATCGATGCATTGGACGAATACATATTTGGCAAATTAAATTTTCGACCGTGCAAAGTGAACGATACAAATTTGGAATACATGTGTATAGATAATGTAAGTTATATAATGTATAAAAACGTAGATATTTGAGAATCGCCAGACAAAATTTAAAAAAGGTAAGAATCTTCTCTCGACCGTACTGGCAAATATTATTTATTCAATCACAACGTTTCGACCCTTCTTTGAGTCTTTATCAAGTGATTTGTAAAAATAAAAATAAAATACTAATTTTAAGATGTCAAAACGAACATAGTGTCGATTTGACAACACGTCAAGACTCTTAAACGAGTTATTGGTGATTAAACAACCTTTAAAATTTTGTCGTATTACTTAGATTGTCGGTATTCTTTTGTAAATTAATAGCGTTATTATTTTTCTTAATAAAAACATTTCAGCGATTTCTTTTTTTCTTACGTGTTTTTCACTGTTCAAAATAGGCGAAGTCCAGTCAAAATCGTGATCGAAGTCAATTTTATGTTTGCTGATAATTCATAAATTATTGGAATGCATTTTGGTGTTGCTGAAATGTTTTTTTACACGTGTACACAGATGTCTCTTTGTTTGTCCGATGTATGACGCGTTGCAATCATTACAATTAATTTCGTAAACTACTTCATTCTTTTTATCTGTAGGCAGTCTATCCTTGCCGAGTGTAATTAAATAATTCGGTTTTTAGGAATATTATGAACAACATTAAATTTGATTTTTAAAAATTCGATCGATATTGCTTAAGCTATTAACATAAGGTAGAGAAATGAAAGGAGACTTATCAACAATATTTCGCTCATTACTCGATTTATTCATGTTTTCCAATCACTCTTTTAAATATAAAATAAACACAATTTTTAATTTTGTAGATCACGCGATTCTTTTATCTAATGACCAGATTCACAACGAGAATATTAATATCGTGAAACAGATTTTATTTAATAACTGCTTTCCTAAACATGTAATTGATCGTTGGGTTAATAAAATGATTAATTTTTAAAACACAGAAACATAAATGAATCGAGTAATGAGCGAAATATTGTTGATAATTTCCTTTCATTTCACTACCTGATGTTAATAGCTTAGGCGATATCGATCGAATTTTTAAAAATTTCGGATTTAATGTTTGTTCATAATATTCCTAAAAACCGAATCATTTAATTACACTCGGCAAGGATAGACTGCCTACAGATAAAAGGATTGAAGTAATTTACGAAATTTATTGTAATAATTACAACGCGCCATACATCGGACAAACAAAAAGACATGTGTGTACACGTGTAAAAAACATTTCAGCAACACCAAAATGCATTCCAATAATTTATGAATTATCAGCAAACATAAAATTGAATTCGATCACGATTTTGACTGGACTTTGCCTGTTATTTTGCACAGTAAAAAACACGTAAGAAAAACAGAAATTACTGAAATATTTTTTATTAAAAAAATAATAACGCTATTAATTTACAAAAGGATATCGACAATCAAGTAATATCTACGACAAAATAATAAAGATCGTTTAGTCTCCAATAACTCGTCTAAGAGTCTTGACGTGTTGTCAAACCGACACTATGTTCGTTTTGACATCTTAAAATTAGTATTTTATTTTTATTTTTACAAATCACATGATAAGAACTCAAAGAAGGGTCGAAACGTTGTGATTGAATAAATAATATTTGTCAGTACGGTCGAGAGAAGATTTTTACCTTTTTTATATAATGTATATTATAACTATATGTGGCGTCAGAAGAAGAAAATCGTACTGTGAGCATGGCCTTTTTTTTGTTTATATATTAAATATACTGTCATTCTCTCATTAATTTATTGCAATTTCTGGCATAGGTACTAAAAAGTAGATATGGACAAGAAACTATTTTATTAATAATATATCACAGCGTGGCAAGAAGACTTGGTCTACGTTCCGACATTATGGGATTCCGTAATCGAGTAGAACTATCTCACTGTATATATTGGAAATCCAAATAGTAAGTAGTATAAAATTAAATTTGGAATTATCAAAATCTTTTAAAAGATATTTTTACATATACACAGGTGTGCATAATAAATAAATAATTTTTTTGTTTTGCAGTAACTTGAATAATCCAAAAAATGTAAGATGTTTTAGTTTCATTTTTCACAAACTCTCAGATTGTCGTGTCTATAAACCACTGTATCGGAAGATGTTGCAGCATTTAAATTGTGTTGATTCTTTACCACGCAAAAGTTTTGGTCGAATATCACCACGTGAACTGCGACACAACATACTGCTAAGAGTTGCGGATTTGACATACCACTATAACAACATTTCTCAGATTATGCAGCGTAGTAGAATTTATTCATTTAAATCGAGTAACTTTGAAGTATGTATGCACTATACACACCGCATATATTAAAATATATTATAATAGTAATAAAAAATTCTCTCTCCTTTCTCACGTACAGCTATATACATATGAGTTATAATTATTTATAATTTAACAATAAGAGTATGTAAATATGCTATAAATATATATTTAAGAATTAAATGGCAAAATTTATAAATTAAAGTATAACATTATACTTTCAGGTCAAAGAACTTCGTTTAAAAACAACAGGGCAATTCATTAGAACAAAAAACGTAAAATATGCGGTAGGAATGATCGTAACACATCGTGGTGATTGCAATAATTGCGACGGCGTCATAATCGGATGGGATCGTCATACAGACAGACGTTATGAAATTTTTACACAAGATCTATATAGCATTAGATGGCTTAGAGAAAGTTATTTAAGAGATAGAAACTTTTTGCCTTTGAATCATTGTAACAATTATCAATTTACAAAGCAGCAAACAAATTATATTATTCTTACCAATAATAATAAAATATGTTACGTAAATGAAGGTATGAATACATTATATATTATCATATTGAACGTGTTTTATTGAAAATTATATATTTTTATATTCTACGAACACTTTATTTCTTTTTATAATTCGTTTTTTATTGATTTCACAGTTATATAATACATTTTATTTATTAATTTGTTTATTATTTATTTTACTTTTTGTACATTGTTTCTTATTTGCATTTTTTAATTTTAGGTAATCTCACTTTAGCAGCGCCGAAATGGATCGATAATTCCGAAATTGGTCGCTATTTTTGTAGATTCGAAAATACGCATTACGTACCAAATGAAATGCTAACGAAACTTTATCCGGAAGACTCCGCTGTAATTACATAGAGGACAAAATCTGCGAATTAATATTATGCATAACATTATGCAATATTTAGAAGAAAAGTTTTAAGAAATTTTATATTTTAAGACTAAATATTATATAGTGTAAACTATGACGTTATTATAGTGTAAATTCTGTTACCATATATAATAGCTTTATAAAATTACGCTAATTTACTTTTTTTATGTACTATAGAGCAAGAAAAGCGTGCGCTACGCATGCGCCATTTCTCAATTTTATATTAACTTTTACTTTAATACTATAGAACTTGTAAAAAATACAATTTATCTATAATATTAGTTTTATTTTCTAGTATTAATTTTATTTTTCCAAATATTGGTTTTATTTCTCTTAATATTAGTTATATTTTTCCTAATATTAGTATTATAATTCTAATATTAGTTTTATTTATGAAAAATTATCTTTTTGTTCTGATTTAGAGTTTAAATAATAATAAGTAATAGATCGCCGGGAAACGACTACTGTGTCTTGAATTTGCAAACTTATTTGTTTTGCTACCACATGTTCGATAACTCGTCTTGGAATAAATTCCATTTCAGATAAGAGTACAGAATGCAAGAGAAACGTAGGCAAAAGTGCGAGCTCGACGAATAATAAACTATCTCTTAGATTTTTAGGTATACACGTCTTAACTTGTTTATTAATGGCAGTAATAAGTATTTTGTATCAACGAGTTGTTGGTTTTCAGCCATTATAGTTTAGCCTGCAGCCTCAATAATATAAACAATAAAATTTTTGTTTTTAAGTTTCAAAATACATATCTAATATACATGAATTTATAAAAAAATTAATTGACAAAATGTACAACAGTTAAGTATACGTATATAATAAAATAATTGTCTATCTTATTATTTTATCCTGCTATTTATATACAATTTTAAAAGGTTAAAATGAAGCGATACAAAAGCGATTTAGATAATTTTTAATAAATTAGATTTAATTTTTATTTTTCAATATATAAGACATTTTCAAAATATCGACAATAAGAATATTATACATTATTTATACATACTACATACTTGATATATTTTTTTGTGTAGAAATTGTGGCAAAGTTTTTCTCTGATTTCCAAAAAGGTAAGTTTATTTCCAAGGTATTTCTAGTTTCTATTGCTTATTTTACAACTGTCAAATTGTTAATCTGTGCAATAACAGTTGCTTGATGCTATAAATTTAATTTGTCGAATTTTTATTATTATACATAATTTTAATTCGCCGAGTTTCTATTATATACATCATTTTAATGCGCTGAATTTCTATTATGCAAATAATTTTAATTCGTCAAATTTATATTATGTACATAATTTTCATTATGTATATAATTTTAATTTATTAAATTTCTATTATGTACATAATTTTAATTTGCCGAATTTCTATTTGTATTGTTTCAGAACTATTTTGTATAGATGTATCTTTTATATATTTTTTCTCATTGTGTTTAGTTTAATCAAATATAATTACGTGCGCAAAACGAAGATATATTATTCTTTGATAATAATACTTTACAAATTGCAACGAATGTATAAAATGATTATTGCAATGCAGGCAAAGAAATATATTTATTAATTATGTGATTCATAAAAATCAATATTTTAATTTTAAAAACAAAAAAATAAAATTTTCTACAAGAATCTTTCTCGATCAAAATATCTGTGCTTCCATCTGATTAACCGTTTCATGCATGATATGCATCATTTATCCTTGTTTAACATTTGGTGAACAACAACGATAACTGATGCATTTTGCGCATCATGCATGAAACGGAATGTACTCTGATACATCCCACACGTTCATCATGTTACGCGGTTCGCGCGAGACTGATTCACAATTCACGTGCGGAGTATCGCGAGCGCGAAAACGGTGGACACATGACCAGTGGTCACGTTACCAGTTACTCACTGGTCACGTGACCTCTTCTTCGCACTCGTTATACCTCGCGCGAGAATCAGTTTCGCGCGAGCCGCGAAGCGTAACGTACGAATAGGGTGTAGGTCATAAATATAAAGAATATAAACATACATTTTCTATAAACATATATGTTTTACATAATATATATTAAAATTATTCGATTTACTGACAATGAGTAATTTGAATTCTTTACTGTAGATTGCGATCTAACCATCATATCTCTCTGGGTGTGTAATGTACATAACTTATACGTCCTTTTAGTCTCAAATTAAAATATTGGAATTCAAATTTTTAACTAGTTTACACTGATATTTTTAAAATTAAATAATAATATATTAAAATTGTTTATATGCAATATATACCGAAAATTAGTTCGAATTTGTATGTTTTCTACTACGAAAATAAACAGTTTATAATTTTATTTTTTATCATATATATTTTGGACATTACATTTTATATAACTTTACATCGCGTATTAATTATTTATGTCCAAATAAATTATTTTAGTATGTAAATGTTTTTTTTTACGAAAATTTGTGAAAATTAATTGTGCCTGTATATAAATAAATTTATTATAACAAATGTTTATTGAAAAATAATATATATATTTTTCTTGTTCATATACACATGTATGTCATTGTTATATCTTCCTTCTTCCCATCTTCAGTATTACATAGAAAATATGAAAATTTGAGAATAATTAATGAGTAATTATAATTATACATAAAAAACGTGCGGCAAAATGAAGCAGTTTAATATCACGTAATATTATACTTATATATAATATATATATATATATATATATATATATATATTTATGTGTGTGTGTGTGTATGTGTGTTATTATCGTAATTTTATAAAGTTATTAAATAGTGACAAAATTATAATTATGTCATCGCAAAAAAAAGAAAAAAGGAATTCTTGATACAAAGTATATTATTTTTATTATTGAGTGCTATTTCATTGATTTTAGAATAGAATGTTCTTTGTAATCACAAATAGTCATATGCCTTAATAATAAATAAGTTTGTGTGAAGTATATTTTATCCTTAAGGTATATTTTCGATTTAAAATCATTATATGGTAAAATAGTGATAAATACGTTTTAATACTTGTACATATAGAGAAAAATACTTATTATTATATACTTTGACTACGAATAAGATTAACACATAATGTATATATATATATATATATATATATATATATATATATATATATCATTGGTATGATACATATATACCTGTATTATTTCAATATTAGACTAAATTTACGAATTTTGAAAGCGTGTAACTTAAAATAAAGCAATTTTCTGATATTGACTTAATTTGATCGAAATTGGCTGATTCTCGATGTCAATTTCGATGTCGATGAGTTTTCGATGAATCGACGTTGAATCAACATCGATTCGATATCAGCATTTTCACGTCTTGCGGGTAAAGTTTCGTTAGCATTTCATTTAATGCGTAATGCGTATTTTCAAATTTACAGAAATAGCGACCAATTTCGAAATTATCGATCCATTTCGGCGCTGCTAAAGTGAGTTTATCTAAGTTTAAAAATTGCAAATAAGAAACAATGTACGAAAAATGAAATAAATATAATTAACAAATTATAAAATAAAATTAATAAATGATTTATAAAAAGAAATATAATGTTTGTTGAATAAACAAATATATAATTTTCAATAAAACACGTTCAATATAATACTTATATAATATATTCACATCTTTATTTACAAAACATATTTTATTATTATCGGTAAGAATAATATAATTTGTTTGTTGCTCTCTAAATTGATAATTGTGACAATGATTCAACGGCAAGAAGTCTATTTCTATTGTATAATTTATTGTAGTCCATTTGTCGTTATTTAGATTGTGTGTCAAAATTTTATAACGTCTGTCTGTATGACGATCGTATCCGATTATGACGTCGTCGTAATTATTGCAATCATCACGATGTGTTACGATCATTCCTACCGCAAATTTTACGTCCTTTTGTCTAATGAATTGCTCTGTTTTTTTTAAACAAAGTTTTTTGATCTGAAAGTTTAATGTTATACTTTAATTTATCATTTTTGCCATTTAATTCTTAAACATACATTTATAGCAAATTTAATTACCTTTCAAATTTATTGAAATTTTTTACCTAATTGGCCAGTACAATTTAATTTGAAACACTACGTTTCGACCCTTAGATACGGGTCCTTTTTAAGTGTAACTGCACAATAAAAATATACAATGATTAAGATATGAAACAATAATTTACAAAGTTGTTTTTAATTACAAACGAAGAAATTTGCGATATTATAAAAATAATGTACCTTTCAAGATGTTGATTCGACAGCAGTAAAATTACTAATGTTAAACCGGAGAGAGACAAGTAAATCAATTTAAGTCAAACGTTGAAAACACAATAATATCATTTTTTGGTGAAATTTGGTGGAAAATATTACGAACAAATTTTCGGCCGCCCGATGGGATCACTCTTATCACCAATATTGGCTGACTTGGTCATGGACGAGCTTGAAACACAATGTTTAAGCAAGTTAAACTATATACCGGTCTTTTACAGATACGTTGATGACATTTTTGCAATAGCACCGAAAACAAAAATTAATGAGATATCAACGATGTTTAATAATTACCACGAACGTCTAATGTTCACGCATGAGGTTGAAGTCAACGGATCTGTAAATTTCCTCGACGTTACTGTTGTAAAAGCGGAGGGGACATTGTTGACCAATTGGTACAGAAAACCCACTTTTTCTGGCAGATATATATTAATTTCCTTTCTAACCACCCTCTTCAGTACAAAATCAACACGATTAGAAGTTTAGTCGACAGAGCTTTATTACTCTCAAATGAATGCTTCCACACTGATAACATCAGAATTATTACGGATATTTTGGTCAACAATTGCTTCCCGAAACCTTTCATTAAACTACATATTGAGAAGAGAATGAAAACACTAAAACACCGTAGAGAATTTTTGATGGTTAATGACAATGGATTTAAAAAGTTTAATACGAGATCATTGTTACCGATACCGTATATAAAAAACTTGAGCGAAAATCTGAGTAATACGTTAAAAAAATGTGGCCTCGACATTGTTTATACTATCCCGAAAAAATTAAATAGATTAATCAAGAGAGGTAAAGATAAGATCAACCATATGAAAAGAACTGACGTTGTGCATCTGATAGAATGCAACGATTGCAATGCGACATATACAGGGCAAACAAAAAGACAATTAGCTACACGCGTATAAACGAACATTTTAAAAATATTAAACAACATTATAGCAATTTCAACGTAATTAGCAAACATCGTATAAAATATGACCATGATTTTAAATGGATGGAACCTAGGATTTTGCATTGCGAAAAACACAGAAGGAAAAGAGAATTAGCGGAGATGTTTTTTATTAAAAAATATAAGAATAACATCAATTTACAAAGGGACACAGAAAATCTAAATCCTATTTACGATAAGTTGATCCACAGTATATGATTGTCTATTTATTTATTTCGTTGTATTGTCGAACTTTGATATTTTGTATTTTTAACGTTTGACTTAAATTGATTTACTTGTCTCTTCCGGTTTAACATTAGTAATTTTACTGCTGTCGAATCAACATCTTGAAAGGTACATTATTTTTATATTATCGCAAATTTCTTCGTTAACAACTTTGTACATTATTGTTTTATATCTTAATCATTGTATATTTTTATTGTGCAGTTACACTTGAAAAGAACCCGTACCTAAGGGTCGAAACGTAGTGTTTCAAATTAAATTGTACTGGGCAGTTAGATCGAAAATTTCAATAAATTTGTATAGTTTTACTCATCACTGGCGACTTCATTATTTTATCGTTATTAATTACCTTTATTGTTAAATTATAAATAATAATAACTCATATGTATATAGCTGTACGTGCAAAGAGAAAAGAAAGAGAATTTTTTTATTACTATTATAATATATATTTTAATATATGCAGCGTGTATAGTGCAAACATACTTCAAAGTCACTTTTATGAAACGGATAAATTCTATTACGCTGCACAATCTGAGAAATGTTGTTAGTGGTATGTCAAATCCGCAACTTTTAGCATTATCTCGTTTCGCATATCACATCGTACTTTTGTATTAAAGCTTTCGTATTGTAAAAAATCTTTACATAATAAATGCTGCAACTTCCACCAATTTCGCATTGTAAAAAATCCTCACATAATAAATGCTGCAACTTCCACCAATCCGGTTTATTGACAAAACAATCCGGAAATTTCTCAAACATTAAACTAAAACATCTTTCATTTTCTGGATTAATCGTGCCACTGCAAAGCAAACAATTTACTTATCTATTATGCACACCTGTGTATATGTAGAAATATCTTTTAAAAGATTTAGATAATTCCAAATTTAATTTTATACTACTTACTATCTTGATTTTTAGTATATACAGGTACAGTAGGATAGATCTGATCGTTCACCGAATCCTATAATGTCGGAACGAAAACCAAGTCTTCTTGCCACGCTGTGATATATTATTATTAAAATCATTTCTTGTCCATATCTACTTTTTAGTACCTATGCCAAAAAATATAATAAATTAATAAAGGAATGACAGTATTTTTAATATATAAACAACCAAATGGCCATGCTAACAGTATGATTTTCTTCTTCTAACGCCACATATAGTTATAATATACATTATATAACTTATTATCTACACACATGTATTCCAGATTTGTATCGTTTACTTTGCACGGTCGGAAATTTAATTTGCCAAATATGTATTCGTCGAATGCATCGATAATCTAAATTCCTTCCGCTTCATTCCAGTGATTATCGTCTATATTATTGTTTTTCTTAATAAGAAAAGTTTCACCCCGTATGAAAAAATATTATAAGGAAACTATAAAGAAAAATACTGGAAAACTACTGAGAGCAATATAGAAAAACTATTTAAACACTATTGAAAAATACGGGAATACTATTGTGTGCGTATTGCAACACTATTAAAAACTATTGTAAACCTATTCGTGAAGTATAGTGTCATTCCCTGTAGTATTTTCGTCAAGAACTATTGAACAATTGTAACAAAACTATTTATGAATTATTCGAGCAAAATTTAATTATCTATTTCAGTGACAAAGAAATGAGACTGTAATCAGATTTAATATATTTGTATTTCACAAATATTATTACAATGCATGTGTAATAATATAATATAAAACATCTTGAAACATAACAGTATTATCAGTCAATTCTCGATTTATCACAGACAAAATGATAAGTTGTAATACAATTTATGATATTTAAAAAATAAATAGTTCTACTATTTATGTTTACAATACAATATTATTTATATTAAACACATACAAGAATATATAAATTTAAACTTATAAAGAATTTCACACTTATGATTAATATAATAAAAATATAATAAAAATATTGATTAATCAATTTCAACAGTACCGAAAGGCACAATATATAATTTATTTTCTTATCTAAAGAGTATTTTTATCAGAAAATCTATAAAATAACTTAATGTTTTCTGTTGTTTTTTGTAATAACTGCTCAACCAATAGTTTTTGAGACACTCATAAAATTATATGTAAAAAATTAAAAAAACATCTTTTAGTACAAAATTAAAAAAAAACATTTTGTTTAATAGGACCAATGCTAATTTCTTTTAAGTCATTAAAAATAAATTAACAGTACTTGCAGAGTAACTCGAGAAAAGTTATTTATTGTCATCTTCTTGGTTTCTTCTGCTTGCTCGAGGTGTAGCATTATTACATTTTTGTCTGACAGCTGCTTTAAAAAGTTTTTGAGTGTCTTTATTGCACTCAAATATTGAAAACACGTGTGCTGTAATAATAAAAAGTAATAATTTTTAGGGGAATTTTAAAAATATATTAATAAAATTAATATGTATAATATTGAAATTAACATGTATATTCTATTTTTGATTATAAAATATATGTGATATGTAATATTAAATCTATGAATTGCAAATTATTCATATATAAAACACAAAAGTTTTTCACTTGAGATTGTTACCTTCAATTGCCTCAAGACGTTTTGAATTTAAAGCTGGTTTAGGTGTTATATTTGCTCCTTTCATAGTATTGGCAATTTTTCCTGTCAAACTGGATGTTGCCAGTTCTTCTTTGGAAAAAACCACTGATAATAAATCGCATGTGTATTGCGAAATACTACTTCTATTACAATTTCGAAGACGACCAGCATTTACTAAAACACCTTTCCCACCGAGATTAATCATTTTTTCCTATAAATAAAAAAAATAAGTTAATTATTTCTATTAAACAAAAAGTGTATAACAAATATATGAAAATTATGCTTACATTGTTGAGAAGTTCTTTATTTGACGTCATTTCTATTATATTATTTGTAGCCTCACTATTATTTTTCTATAAATATATAACAAAAAAATTATATGAATTATATAATGTAAATTTAAATATGAATTATAAATTCTGTATAAACGTGAAAATATACATAATATTTTATACAATTTTACAACAGTATTATATACATGATGTGTTCTAAATCGGCCTAAGAGCCAAAGCACGAAAAATTAATTAATTAATTAATTTTTCGTGCTTTGGCTCTTAGGCCGATTTAGAACACATCATGTTTATATCTAGAGCCGATAAAAATATTTATTTCTGAGTATTATATACATTTTTTTAATTTATAATAAAATTTAATATTAATAATTATTAATAATATTAAATATTATTATATATTTTAATATTAATACAAATTAAATTTTTATTTAAACTTATTAATAATTTCTTATAAATAATAATAAATTAGAAAAATATTTCGTTACATATAAAATTGATTCCATTGAACAAAATAAAATATACGAAATTTTTAATTGTATAAAAAAAATTAATGATAGATTTTTTTAAAGATATTTTAATATATATATTTTTACCTTCGCAAATAAATCATTTTTGTATATTTTTTCTGTTGTGAGAAGTATGTCATTTTCCATCAAATTGTTTCCGTTGGAATCCGTAATTAAATCTATTTTATCATGTATTTTTTCTGTTTTAAGAAGTATGGTTTCCACCAAATTGTTTATTTTCGGCAAATCTAAAAATTAAATATAAAATTAGTTCTTTGTAACATATTTTTGCTTATGTAGTATGTAAAATAATATATAATTTCAAATAAGATACATACTTTCTATACAAGCAAGTGAAATACGTAGTGCCACATTTTCGTTTTTTAAGTCATTATTTTCTTTTTTCAAAGTTTTGTTCTCTTGTATAAAATGTTGCGACATTTTTGAAGAGCTGTCATCATCTGAAGATTGTTCGGACTCTATCTACATTAAAAAAAAATTCAAAATTAATGTTGGAATATTATATTACTTTTTTCAAATATAAATATAAAGAAAATTTACTATAGATACTTGTGTTTTACGTGTTTTCAATTCTTTCCATAATTTTGAAGATTTGGTTTCAATGTTCATCTCTTTTTTTTTGTATTTCTATTTTTAGAGAAAATAAAGATTTATATATATTAAGAACACAAGTAATATAAATAATAAGAAAAGAATTTATAAAATTTAGTGAACGTAACAACCTTTTTTCTCTGACTATCCTCTGGCTCTTCATCATCGCTCCATTGTTTCTTACACATTGATTTTCTTTCCTCTTTAGTTGCTTCTAAAATTCCATATATTTCCAAATTGTCTCGTTGTTGGCACATTTTGGTCCATTCTTAAATTTTGAAATAAAAATAGTATAATGCTATAAAGCTATAATGCTATAAGTATAAATTATAATTGATTTTAAAAATATCTTGTTATATACAGTGCTGGACAAAATAAATCATACACTTTATAATAAATTGAATTTGTAAGTGTAACTATTTTTTTAACAATATTGAATAATTTTTTTACAATAAAAATTAAAAACAATTTTGTTATTTCATATTTCCTTTATTTAAATACTTTGAAATGCTTTGATTTTTCTGTACCTAATAATCCATTTGCTTGTTAAAAAACAGTTACACTAACAAATTCAATTTATTGTAAAGTGTATGATTTAATTTGTCCAGCACTGTATATGTATATTAGTTATATATGTATATACATACCACCAAAAGAAAGTATCCTTGCTACAACTGTCTTCCATTCACATGTTTTCACTCTTTTTTTCATTATCAACGCTGGTGCAATGTCACAATTAGGCCATTTTATTTTTACTTCACTTTTCTTTTCGATTATATCTAAGTATTTTTTTTCTCCACTTATTTTATCTTGCAACCAATCTTGATAACCGACAGCAATTTTTTTATCTTCGTTAACAAATTCCAACAAAAGACATTTGTTATTATCCATTTCCTTTTCTCAACTTGGCTTTGCCTCTTGCTTATTGTTATGGCTAAATTTGTCAGTTTGATGGTGTATTATTGTCGCTCTCGTTCACACTTCCTCTTATATTTATGTATAACACTGATTCAAAAAATCGTTAACAATGCGTGTGATACGCTCTTCCTCAGGAATATGAGTGACGCACTAGGGTATCGATTCTGTAACTTTTTCTAAAGTGAAAACGTGAAAAGTGAAAAATTTCCACCAATCGCATATCGATTTCATTTTAAATTCAATTTGTGATTGGCGGAAATTTTTCACTTTTCACATTTTTACTTTAGAAGAAATTACAGAATCGATACCTAGATCTTGCTTGAGATTGAATGGCGCCCAAATAAAACGCGCTAAAATAATAACTGACACTGTCCGCTGTCAGACATAGACATAAGGTGCGTTCCGTTTTACGCATATGCGCGCATTTTCTATAGTACATGTGACGTATATTATAGATAAATGCGCGCATATGCGTGAAACGGAACGCACCTATAGGAGGAGATATACATATGTGTACGCATGTGCGGTTTAACGGTATCTGATTCAACTTCTTCTTTGTTGCGTACCCCCTCCACATGCTCTGATAGCGGGCAGTAGGCAGCGGGCAGAAATATTGTAGCCATCTTATTTTTTACGACATTGGTTTAATGCATCGCTCGAATGGAGATTAAGTTGTTCGTATTTTTGAGAAAGAGTATCGTATACATTACAATAGATTGTGAAATTTTGGTCGGTGTTTACACAAATGTAAAATAAAGTAAACGAGTGATAATATACGGAACATACATATTTTGCTGAAATATTAAGCAACAAGTTGAGGAACTATTGCACACAAAAAATAGAAAGGAACGTCTATGTATTTATAAATAATGGCAAAAGGAAAAAGAGGACCTTATAAAAGATATCTAACAGACGACTCTGAAGAAATTCCCACAACAACAAAATATTCTCGCGTAGTAAGAGCAAAAGAACAGAAAATAGCGACACAGGTAGTCATATTTTTCTTTTTCTATTTGCTTTATATAAAGTGATCTAAACATCAGGATATCGATCATGTAAGATAAGTAAAAACTTGGTTTAGAGTGAAAACGTGAAAAGTGAATATTTTCATTGTGGAAATCAAGGCGTGATTGATGGAATCGCTGAGAAATTTTTCACTTTTCACATTTGTACATATTTATATATAATTTGTAGATGGAAATGTACCTTAATGAAGAAATTAATTCGTGTGAACAAAGTGATATGACAATTGAAGAGCATTCTTTCCAAGAATCTTTTGAAGAAGTAAACATGATTCACAATACTGAATGTAACAATGAAAATAAAAGTAGTGAATCTGAAGAAGACAGAGATGAACAGGATTATTTAGCTGAAGATGGAAATGAACACTATTACTTATCTGAAGATGAAGATGAACATGATTATTCTTTTAAAGATGAAGAT